CAAACTAATATGCTCAACACATAACTCAGAGAACACTGGCCAATTACTCAGTTTCTGAATGAAATGTAAAGCCAAGCAACAATTCCAATATAATCTTTTTATTCAGGTGGACTTTGGGCTGCAGACCAGTTGCTGAGGAAGTAGCTTACTGGTTTACTGTATTTCTATTGACACAACTGCCACATAGTATTTTCACTCAAACATTCTAATGAGTATGCAATACAGGAGAGTTTCAAAGCATAACATAAACTCAGATTGTGTAAAATACAGCCTACTCTGAGTCTACTGTGCTTCTTTGTAAAAGAATTTAGATAACTTTTTAAAAGGAAAGGAAAGAAATAATGTTTATTTACTTCAGCAAACATTCATTTTAAAATGCAATGTGTGGCACATAGAAATAAATGGTGAGCTGCACCTGACCACACAAAAATAAGGTATAGCTAAACAGACGCAGGCATGAAAGAAAGAACTACTACAAAGCATGACCAGTAGCTTTTTTTACTTATACTTCTCTGCTGTCTCTCAAACACTAATACAGAAATGCTGCTTTCACAGAAATATCTTTGCAATGAAATGTTGTCTAACAAAACTGCATATGATCCCTTCTCAACCTACTCTTATGTATCCAGTATAAATGGCTGGTTTTGGCAAAAAGGTAACACTGATCACAATAATACAGCAGAAATATGAAGTCTTTATTTTTCTGGCTGTTATTTTCTCTTTCATAAGACAGGGAAAATCCCAACAACAATATATAATGGCAATCTCTACCCAGCTTCAGCAAAAGTACTGGGGCTGATGCCATCTCCCTTTATGAGCCTGCTTGGGTGTCAAGATCATTGGGGGAGGTCTTTCTCTGTTCCTGCTCCCAAACTTTGGAACTTCCTTTCATGGTTGCTGCTCCCAGACTTTGGAACTTCCTTTCACAGGAAACTAGGCTGGCTTCATCCATGCAGTCCTCCTGCAAACAGATGAAGATCTTTCTATTCAGGCAGGCTTTCCCGTAGAAGATCTTTCTATTCAGGCAGGCTTTCCCTTAGAGCCTGGCTGTCTAAGTGGGGCTTTAAAATTGGGATGATCAGTATTTTATTGTTTTAATTTGTTCTAATAATGCATTTAGTTTACATTTTAAAATAATATATATTTAAATCTTTTTAAATATTTAAATGCAGTGGTGCCTTGGAAGACGAAGGTAATTTGTTCCGCAAGTAGCGCTGTCTTGCAAAATTTTCATCTTCCGAAAAGTGGTTTCTCATAGGAGTGCATTGCAATGCATTCCTATGGGAACCTCGCAAGACAAATGAATTGTTTTCGTCTTGCAAGGCATCGGTCTTGTGGGGAAAAAATCGTCTTGCGAAGCAGGGCCATAGATGAAGCCGTCCTGCGAGGCACCACAGATATCACAAAAACCATTCGTCTTGCGGGGTTTTCGTCCTACAAGGCGTTCGTCTTGCGAGGCACCACTGTAATTCATTGTTGGGTCATTTTATGGAGAAAGATGAGGTAAAAATATTTTAAATAAATAAAAATAAATAAATTTCAGTCAGGGATCAGCTCCAGGACCCATTATAAAAACTGGAAAATAGCAAATAAATGAGATAGCCTCTGCACTTTGCCCATTTTTTAAAAAAAAAGATAAAGTAATTATGCATACATGCTGATACCTTTAAGAAATGGGGGATATATTTAAAAAGAAAGGTCTGACTTGTAGCTCATTGTTTTACCTGCAGACTTCCAGTATCCAGTTATCCAGAAAACAGAGACCCACTTCTAAACCCCTTTGAAAGGCTTGTGTTAGCTTCAGCATATTAAAGGGAATTAACAAGTCCCCAATAACTAGCTAGTGGACAAGATGCACTATCTATGTTTAAAGCTCCAGTATCAAGTTATCCAGAAAACAGAGACCCACTTCTAAACCCCTTTGAAAGGCTTGTGATAGCTTCAGCATATTAAAGGCAATAACAAGTCCCCAATAACTAGCTAATGGACAAGATGCACTATCTATGTTTAAAGGAGAGTAAGAACAAGAATACTATTCTGCTCTTGCTTAATCTTCCATGCTTTTCTTTCTTTCATTGTCAGATACCCACCATTCAGGATGCATTTGAATCAAATTGATTTAAATCACAATTTAAATTTTAAAAATTGGACTTTTTTACAATTTAAATTAAAAAAAATCATTTTTTTATTATTTAAACTGTGATTTAAATTGTAATTTAAACCAATTTAATCTTTATCCACCCTGCTATCATTACTGCTGTCATCAACTACCTCACCATCACCACAACAGCATCTGAGGAGGGTTCTTCCTTACCCTGCAGTCACTCACCAGAATTTTATTTAAATTCCCAACAAACAGCAGGCTAGTATGGAAGTTACAGTTCTACTTAAAGTGGCCATGTTTAGAAATTATGTAACAATTGTAATAACTAACGTAGATTCTAACCACCAAGAAGTAACATTTTCACTTACACCCCCAGACGCTGCAGATTCTTCCTAAGGATTTATTTTTCTATGCATCTACAGCGCATCTGCATGTAAATATTGGACTAAGTTTGTGTGTCACCATACTTGTCTGTCCTTATATTCTAATTATATTACCTTACACATTTGCTACCAGAACATATAAGCATGTAAGATATACTTTATTTTCTGGCCATAACCTGTATTTATTTGAACTTGAAACAAGCATGGAAAATTCAGGGCGGGTGGGGGGGATTGGGGAAAACAATATTTTTTTCCTATGTTATAGTACAATGTCAAACTCAGTACAGGGTTTCAGGAGTTCCAACTCACAATAGTCCATTACAGATGGACACAGATAGTCAGCTACCATGTGCAGATATTTATTCATCAGTTTTAAAAATATATTTTTAAAACGAAGAAGCATATTAGATTATTTACTGACAATACCTTTCAAGCACCCAAAATGAATCCTTTTAATTTTGAACATATTAAAAGCAGGCAATCTTCCAACATGCAACCCAAACAAAAGAAGGAAGCAAGAATGTAAACGTAAGATTTTTCAACCCATTTTACATTCCATTGGTTATGACACTTCTGGACAACAAACCAGTGAAAATTACTACAAGCTAATAATGAAAGTTTTTTTAAAATGATGCAAAAAGTTATCACACAAAGAATATATTCTGAAAAAGATGCAACAGGAAATTATGGTTTGAGAAACAGAGATTAAGCCAATGTGCATACAGTATTGGGGGAAAAAGCTATTTGTTTTGATTCCAAAATAAAGGACTGATCAACTACATTTTAGCACAATTTTTAGTGAGGTTCATTAAAGATGCTTCCCTCAGACAGTGATTGTTACTAACAACAGGAAATAGCTAATCCTCAATATGATTATGTCTCGTAAATATTAGCAATAGCTTAAAGTAATTGAAGGCAATTATTTCAGATGACCTATCTTCATTTATGCTTTCACTATGTAACTTCATTTATATTTTCACTATGGCATGAACTCCCAAATCAAAAGAGTCAGCCTAACAAAATACAGCTGATTGCCTAAATTAAATAAAATGCTTTGCAGCCTCATAAAGTAGGTATAATTCTTTTCTGGTTGCTTCAAATTTTATTTAGATTCAAAGATAATTAAATAAGGTCTACCTAATAATCGACACAGATATTCTAAGGAAAAAAACATCTGCATGCTAGGGACATGAAGTGCCATATTTCATGAGTGATCTGGTTTACTTCCCACACTATTCTAGGAGAGTTTGGTGCTGGGAATGGGAGATAATCATATCAACTAGTTCAATGATCCCCAACCTTGGGCCTCCAGATGTTCTTGGACTACAGCTCCAAGAAGCCTTCACCACCACCTCTGCTGGTCAGGATTTCTGGGAGCTGAAGTCCAAGAATATCTGGAGGCACAAAGTTGGAGACCACTGATCTGGTTGATTCATAATGCTTGATTATTATTTTTTGACAACAGCCATAATGCAGCTGTGATGCTGAATTCATGAAATTCAAACATGAATATCTGAAGAAGGAAATCAAGGATGGCATCATCACAGATTATAACCTTCAGTCAACAATTCCAAAATGTTGAGTCAGAAGCTGTAATGGCAATTCAAAAAAATGTTTTTTTCTCAAACTGCAAATCAAGTTAAATATATATAAAATTATATGAGAAAATGGAACCATGGGAATCCCTTAGCAGAGAATACAAATGATACTCCCATATTGCTCAGTGGAGAAATCAAGTGGTATAAGTTTTTTTAAAAAATCAATTCAAGCAGCAGCTAAACTGGTTGTTGTGGGTTTTTCGGGCTCTTTGGCCATGTTCTGAAGGTTGTTCTTCCTAACGTTTCGCCAGCAGCTAAACTTCTTAGAGCTGAAAGCAAAGCAGAGTGTGCTGCTTATATACCACTCCATAGTGCTTAAAGCACTCTCTGGGCAGCTGAGAATTTAATTATGCAGGCTACACACTTCGCCCGCAGTGAGCTGGGTATTCAATTTACCAAACTTGAAAGGACTGAGTCAATTGTGAGCTCATCAGGAGCGAACTCAAGGTTGTGAGAAGAATTTTGACTGCACCACAAGGCTCCAAGAGCTGAAATAACATCGCTACGGAAAATCCACATTTTATGCTCATATATGAAAATGAAGAAACATGACTTCTCACAGCATTTTTTTAAAGCAGGAACAAGGGGTACCTAATAATATAACTCCTGTGATATCAAATTTTATCAGGGAAGTAACATGAGATAAAATTTTAGAGGATAAAAAGAGGAAAAAATGAAACTCTGAAAAGTAAAATCAAATGCATCTTTCCCCCTCAGTCAGTGTTAATAGACTCAGCTAAGATTTTGTTATTAAGAAAAACATAGCACAGATATTGTCTCTGCAGAAATGACAACCATACATTCATTTCTACCACAATAAAAGCACCCAAAAAAAAGCAACAATAAAAAAGCAATGATGGACAGATGGTGTTTCAAACGGTAGCCTCATGCAGCATGGGTTTGTAAAGTACATACCCAGAAAGGATCTCTTGGGAGGTGTTTTGATTTCTTCATCCTTACTATCTGCAGCTACATTAAAAGATTGAAGAGAAAGCAAAGACAGAACAGGCTAGTTTGAGTTCGTATAATAGCAGGCCTCTTAAATTAGTTGAGAGTTAGTATATCTTGCTTTAGGTAACATGACAAAAAATCTTTTTAGTTGCTCCACTGTCTCTGAGTTATACTCAGATTTTGAAACTATGAAGAATGGAACTGCAATGTCCTGTGTAAAGATATCTGGAAAATAAGAACAAATACTTAATCTATATCACAATACCAAATATAGATTAAGGTGTGTTTTTTTTCATGATCCTCAATACAGTGGAAACATGATCCTCAATACAGATTTCATTTTCACTGCTTCCCAGCTTAGCCAAGTTGAAACAGAATGATTTACTTGAACATTTTACTAAATACATCTTTACAAACTGTGGCAATAATTCATCTATTCAAGAAATTACCATGTTCAAGGAAGGCACTTATATTCATCTTTCACCAGTGAGTTATAAAAAAAATACTATTTTTTAAAATTTCAGTTCATTTGAAGTAAATTACACTCACTTTACCAGTGTTGCAAAACCACTTGAATTCTACGGCCATAACTGTTTATATCTTGTGCTAAAAACAGAAGCTAAATTCCAGCATAACCCATTCTGCCTTCTGGATATATTTTGCAAACTTTATCTCTGTTCGCACAGACTTTAGAATAAACTGCTTACATTACTGTTGTGCCCATCCTTGCACTCATACACCTCACTAAAATATATTCAGGAAGATAGAACTATGTGCTTCAGGCAGCCTGCCCTGCACCCCTTAATTTGGTCCAGTGCCCTCAAGGTCACGTGAAAGATGCTGTTGTCCCCAGGGTTGAAGTCTACTTCACTTGCCAGTCCCACTGAGATTAGAGGAGGCTATCTTACCCTTTGCCTCAGGTGGTAAAATATCTCAGATTGGCCCTTTTTATTAGAGGAATCAAGCATACAATCAAGATGTTTAAGGAAATTTAACAGCATCTGCAGAAAGTACCAAAGGTATTTTCAAACATGACACTAAGAATGCCTCTTTGCTTCCAAAGCATGTCTCCTGAGTATCACAAATATGAAAAACAAGAGAGACAGATTGTATTTCAGGGTTTCTCTGTAACTGAGGCTATACAGGAAAGTAGGACAACTGACCTTTTCAAAACAGCCTAATCTAAACAAGTAGCCACAAAAAAGAGAGTCATCTGAAACTATGAAAAAAAAGACAAGAACTTGAAGAAAACAATAATAGCTGTTGTTATGTGCCACCAATTCACTTTCAACAAACAACAATCCAAGTTAATGACCTCCAAAAGGTTCTGTTCTGCTCAATGCTTCCAAAACAAAGGTTGTGGCTTCCTTTATTGAGTCACACCATCTCTTACTTGATTTTTCTCCTTTCTTGTTACCATCAATTTTTTCAAAGCATTACTGTCTTTCCCAGAGAAGGGAAACTACTATTTTAAGAAAGTTCAGACTCTCCCAAGAACATGCAAATTGATGTGGACATTCTTTACCTGACCATATTGGAGATGGGAAGTATGTCATACAGGAATGTGAATATATACACATATATATGTGAATAAGATCTCAGTTCACAACCTCAGCTTCATAACTGAATAAGCTTTTGTACTGGCACAATTTTAGGAGAAAATAATACTTGAAAAAGCTTAAGCCCTAGAAAGATAAATACCTGTAATGACTTTATGTTTAAATACATACATGTACTGTATCTGTGTATGCAACTGTGAAAGAGTGCTGTCACTAAAGGTTACAAGTTACAACTTCAAAAAACAACTGCTTGGCAAAGATGTTGGGCACCTTGCCATATGGATCACTAACACCAGCATATTCCTTATGCAATTGCCAGTAGCATGGAAACCAATAAGTAATCCATAAAATGATGGGCTCGCCACATGATGAATGTCTGAGCAGTGTGCAAAGAAGCTATTCAGAGTGGCTTCCACATGACTCTACATAGGACAATGAATATGACAACAAGAAGCATTTCCACACACTATGGATATATGATTGAACAGCGAGAAGATCCTCCTCCAATAGCTTTGCACAACCACTCAACTCTGTGGTTATTCCTGGCTACAAATGAATATATATATATATATATTTCCACCACAGTACTACTACACCATGCTTGGCATATTTGTATCAAAATAAAACGTATGCTTCTCTTTTAAAAAAACAAATAAAAGCCCATTTCCATCAGGTGGACTTGACAGTATTTAAGTATTGGATTATCAAATGACAAATTTGACAAAGTATTTGTCCAACTATAATTTAATAAAACAAGCAAGGCTACAGAAGTAAAACAATGTTTAACATTATCACTAAGAAATGTTTTTGACCAACCTGAAAAGGAGCGCCTTTTGACATTTAAGTCATTTGTCACACGTACTTCAGTGCATAGTTTCAACATCAGTAACATTGTAATTATCATGATAATGCTCTGCAACACCAGTGGGGATTCAAAATGCCTCCCAAACCTAGAAGGAGACAAAAATGTAGACATATCAGATAGTGAACATCCAGAAGTCTGTACTCTTTTTTAAAAGGAAACGACAACAGCTTTAAAACCCACATACTGTAGGTATAAAGCAAAACATACCCTGATGGCTATGCTAATAAACTTTATAATAGGTTTAGCATTATTGTCCACAGCATATTCTACAATGCACTCCCAGCTGGAAGGCAGCCAGTCACAAATCCACAGTCATGGACAGAAGTGTTATTAACAGTGGACAATCACTAAAACATTAGCTAGCAGTTTACAAAACATTTCTTCAGGCAGAACATCGCAAAGAACTTGAGAATAAAATAAGCTTTTATAGGCCACTTAATCCAACCCCTACCTCTCTGCAAAATGCAGATCTAGAACTGCAACACTCCAACAGGTAGTGAACCATGCTTTGTTTAAAGATCTTCATTAAGGGACAGCATATCATATCTTAGTCATTGCCTCTCACTGCTCTTATTGTCAAGAAATTTCTTTTTATGTTAAAATGAAATCTACCTTCCTGTTTCTGAAGTACATCAGATACAGTCATGACCTCTGCAGCCATAGTGAACATCTTCTACAGAAATATGTACAGCCATTGTTTTACAAAATAAAAATGCACTTCTCGCCAGGGATACACAAGTTATCCCCCCAGTACTTTGAATCCACCTAACACAGTGGTTTCCAACCTTGTAAGATGCAGGTGAAATTAAGAAAAAATCTTAGATATCTGAAAGATTTTTGCCAATGGGTTCAAAATATCAAGTTCAAGTTTATTGTAACCATTGGGGCGAAAGAGCTACAAAGAAGCAGCCTCTTCGTCTACCAACGGTTAGCAATTTGAATTTCCCACCTTTTTTCCCTGCCTTTTTCTGTTCGTAACTAGAAGCTCCGGCCGCAAGTCAAAGCTAAATTTTGCAGCCGGAGATGGTTGTAACTTGAAATGGTCGTAAGTCGGGAGGTTCATAAGTCGAACACCACTGTAGTTTACTATTCTTCCAGCATATGCTTCATTGAACGACAAACAAATTCATTTAATCAATATATATGCCAGGGATAGGAAACATTTATAGAAGTGAAGTTGATTTCTCTCACAAAAACCACTAGAGGGAGAGCTCTTCACTTTTTCAGATTTAAGAAGCTCAGTATAAAACACATACAGTACTATAAAGCAACATTCTGAACATACTGAATTATTTTGCCTATATTTCACAGTAAGCCTAGGCACATAACAATAGGCAGCTATTGCTTGAATATAAAACATATACACATATATAGATAGCAATATCCTAATACCCTGAATTTACATGTTCATATTTCCAGGTAAGTTTTGAAAAAACCAGACACATAACAATAGGCAATTGTCACTTGCAATATATCCACACAGAAGTGGGCTTTATTTCATGTTTATTTTCCAAGCTACCAGAACTTGTTTTTCTGATAAAATTAAAGGGAAAAGGAAAGGAAAGCAAGTGGGGGGGGGGAATATAAAATTAACAATTTATTTCAGTATGGGCTTTCATAGATCAAAATTCACTTCTTCAGACACAAGGAATATACATAAATACCTGTCTATGTTTACACATAGCCCCAGCATCAGGTGGAGATATGACAGACAAAGTGATAATGGTTCATTAACACAGGAGTAGGCTTATACAAAGCAACCTGGCAATTTTAAATGAAACCCTATCAAAAGCTGAGCCAAAGGAAGTCTGCACAGAGAGTCAAAGGTAAGACAGGTACCTGTAGTTTGGTCAGAACTAGGGCTGAGTCACACTCAGCTCTCTGAAAATCACATTCATGTTTACAACTCAATTCCTAATATTTGATTTTCAACTTGATGATGACAGAAATAAAGATACACATTCAACCTGTGCCTGCACAGACCTCTGGGTAGATTGGGCGGCATAGAAATTAAATAAATAAATAAATCTGTCCACACTGGAATATAGTTATGATTAGAGATGGGGGTATTTGTATACGAATATGAATACCCCGCACAGCTGGACTTAACTAGGGACTGTCCATTCATGTGTCTGGCAGTGGCAGCAGCCTTGGGCAGCCTTCCAATTGCTCCCAAAGCACTGCTCTTATTCTGCTCATCTAGACAACTCCAGGCAGGGGAGGGAGGACGAGTCTCCCTCTACGGCTGCTGAGTGGCTAGATGAGCAGAAAGAGCTGCACTCCAGAAGCAATTATTAGAAGGCTGATCAAGGCTGCCACTGCCACACACACGAGTGAATGGTCCAGCCCCAGGGGCCGGACCCTCAGTAAGTCCAACTGTGTAGGGGTATTCATATACGAATACAAATACCTCCATCTTTAGTTATGATATACAGATTGCTGAAGACACTGGATAAAACAAATCTCATCTGCATGTGTTTCTACTTAGAATGATCCCTTCTCCTTCAAGAACTGTCCTGTACCTTTCTGGCAGGGGCATGCATTCTTTCTGACACAGTTCATCAAGATCCAAAATAGCTCTTTCTTTAGCCTGTGCAGACAGGTAATTTCACCAAAATGGCATGAGGATGGCATTAGCTGCAGTGACAACCCTGTGATGTAACAGATGGGTTGTGGCACTGAAATGAAACCTCCATTTTTATTTTATTTTTCTATTCCTCTTCTGAGTTTTTAAAAAATATTCCCCTGATAGCACAGCACTACTTTCGACAAACTGAAGCTGTTAGTTGCATTTTACTCAATGCCTAGCTGAATCAGCTGAATGTGGATAAAATAATGTCTACCATGCTAGGCAGATACACTGCTGTACTACTATACCGCTAACTTTTTCAAAAAAATTTAAAATAAAATAAAAAATCATCATGGTACACTTAATTGCTGAAGCAAAAAAAAGGGCAGGGAAAGAGACAGGAAGAGGAATGAAGAAAACACTTTTGAACATGCTTACTATTCTCTATTGTATTGTTTTTCACTGGGGGAAAATGCATTATTCGTTCTTCTTTAGGTTCTATTCTCTTCCTCTGAAATTCTAACCAAATTCTCACACTTCTAGTATATGCATACATTCAGAAGCATTTCAGTAAGTCAAGAGAAACAGCCTTCAACAGAACACTGATCAACAACGCAGCTTTTTTTAAAAATTAACAACTTGGGATAAGGTAAGGGATACAGAAGGTAAAGGAGGATATGGGAGGGAAGGAGGGGGAGCTTCTTGAAGGAAGGTAAATTGTTATTTTGAAGGGAAAATCAGATTAGGATCAAAGGGTCCTGTGTATAGATTACAAGGTTACAAAAGGGGACCGGAGGAAGCAGGGAAGTTGAAGGAGAGAAACTAGGAAAAGAAATCCAGAGGATTTGTAGCTAATAAAGGAATTACAGTGGACAGTAAAGCAGACACTGAAAGCAAGTGACTAAGAATAGAGACAAATAGCTGAGGTTTTACAGAGATAAAGGATTGTGTTTGTTTCACAAAGACGACAATGGAAAGAAGAGCAGTTTGAGAACAAAAGCCAGAGGCTGGAAAGCTGGATTTCTCATTATATTAACCAAACTAGGCAACTCCTCAGTTGCACATTTATAGTAAGTACAGTGGTGCCCCGCATAACAACGATAATCTGTTCCGGGAAAATCACTAAGTGAAACTGTCGTCATGCAAAAAGCTTTTCCCCACTGAAACTCAGTTTAATGCGTTCCAATGGGGAAAATACCTGGTCATTCAGCGAAGATCACCCACAGGGAAGCCATTTTGCGAGCGCCGATCAGCTGTAAAAATGGCTGCCCTGCGAAGCATGGGTCCAGAAAACACAGGACAGCCGTTTTAGGAAGCTGAAGATCGTTGGAAAAAAATCATTGTCTTGCAAATAAACAGTCCGCGAAGCACGGACCTAATCGACGTCCAGCAGAATTCCCCCATAGGAATGACTATTTTGCGAATCGCTATAGTGATCACAAAAAGTCATCATCATGCAGTTTCGTCATATAGCGGGGCCGTCGTCTAGCGAGGTACCACTGTATTATTAAGAACCAAACAAAAGAGAGGTTACCTGCCTGTAACTATGGTTCTTAGAGTGGTCCTCTGTGAATCCACACAAAAGGGTTATTCTGCGCCTGCACAGGACCTCTCAGAAGTTTCTAGAGCTTAAAGACATGTGATTAGTGGGATGTTTCCCCATGGAGCGCATGCTCCAACCACCTGAAGTCCCCTCAGTTCTTGAAAAGTCTGGCGCTGTCAGAAAAATAATGGAGACGACAACGTGACGGACAGAGGGAAGGATGGGCAGGATATGTGAATTCACAGAGGACCACTCATAGAACCATGATTACAGGTAAGTAACCTCTCTTTCTTCTTTGCGGTCTCTGAATGCACACAAATGGGCGACTAACAAGCTCACTTACCAGTTGGTGGGACGTCACATCAGGAAGGAAGTGAGAACAGCTGTGCCAAAGCCAGCATCATTCTTCACTCTGACATCTAGGTGATAATGGGAGACAAATGTCGAGAGAGTTGACCATGTGGCCACTCGACAGATATGAGAGACATCTATGCCACGTTGAAAGGCGGTAGAGGTGGAGACAGCCCTAGTGGAATGGACCTTGCGAGTCTCCGGAGGTGTTTTGCCTGCCAGCTCATAAAGCAAGGAAATCGTCTGGACTATCCATCTGGACAGAGTTTGTGGTGAGGCTGGCGAGCCCATATGAGGGCCATGAAAACAAACAAAGAGTTGAGGAGATCTTCGAAAGGGTTTGGTCCCGTAAATGTAGAACACCAAACAGCGTCTGACTTCACGCATGTGGAGCATGCGCTCAAGGTCGGCTGAAGGAGATGGAAACAAGGAAGGAAGAATCAAGGGTTGGTTTAAGTGAAACTCAGACACAACTTTGTGAAGAAATGAAACATCTGGATAAAGAGTGACTTTGTCTGGATGGAACTGGATATACGGTGGATCTGATCTGAGGGCTGCAAATTCAGTAGCCCATCTGGCTGATGTTATGGCAACTAAAAATAAGGTATTCAGAGAGAGCAGT